CATAGATCGGCAACTACAGTACAGTTGTGAATGAGACAGCGAGGAGAGAGAGAGAAAGGGGGGGGGGGGGGGGGGGAGGGGAGGGAGGAGAGGAGGAAAAGACGAGGCGGGAAGACCACACAGAGCAACAAGCGGAGAAAAGTGGGCGGCATGTGAGGGACCAAAGGGAGGAGGAGAGGGGAGGGAGGAGAAAGGCGGAGAAGAAGAAATAAGAGAACAACAGACAGGAAACATGCGGAAAGAGAAGGAAAGGTGGGGAGCCGTTGATACTAGGACCTAAGAGATGATAAATATCTCATCATACGATTCACTGCTAAATAAAAAGAAAAAGAAAAACAGAAAAAGATCTCATAGAATGAATTAATGAGTCTGGGTAGTAGAAGAGACTTGTCGACGCGAAGAGAGAGAGAGAGAGAGAGAGAGAGAGACCACGAATGACAGGCAACAGAGACCACGTGGAGAGATGGGAGAAGAGGATGCTCACGTACAGGTGCCCGGACTTGAAATCGGTAGACAGGAGAATGGTTATGTAATCGATCGACGAGAAAAACTTATGAACCGCTCACCCTTAAACCTTTCGGCGAATGATATTTGCCGTAACCACAGTCAGATACATGGGAGAGGGACAGAGGAGAGAGGGAGAGAGGGAGATGAAAGGGAGAGAGGACGGAGACAGGAGGGAGAGAGAGAGAGGCGAGACAAAGAGAGGAGAGCGAGAGAAGAGAGGAAGAGAGGAAGAGAGGAGGAGAGGAAGAGAGGAAGAGAGGAAGAGACAGGGAGAGAGGAGATACAGGAAGAGGAGACAGGAAGAGGAGAGACAGGGAGAGAGGAGAGACAGGGAGAGAGGAGAGACAGGGAGAGAGGAAACGGAGAAAGGAGAGAGGGAGAGAGAGGAGGGGGAGAGAAGAGAGAGGGAGAGAGGGAGAGGGAATAGAGAAACGAGAAAAATTGTGTACCTTCATACACTGAGGCAGAGAAGAGAGAGGGAGAGAGGGAGTGAAGGAGAATGAGGGAACCAAAGTGGCTGATCTTACTGTTGACAATCTCGGCGGCCAGTTTGTACTTGGTGACGACATCGGGATTGCTGAGATCGAGCTCCTTCTTCTCCTCCTCTCCCTCGGCGTCCGACATGGCGCTTGTGCTTGGGAGAGAGCGAAGTCGGGTATCTATGAACACTCCTCCTGCCCCTGCTCCTGCTCAACTTCGGCGATGCCTCAACTCCACCAGATCGCAGCGCTACGTCCAAGTGCCGTGAAGCGTTGACGTACGCACCCACTGGAGATCCGCAAAGAGTCCCTATAAAGGCTGAACGGAGCCCGATGGATGACAAGCGCAGACGCGCAGGGAAGAAAGAAAAACGAGGGAGAAGAGGTAGAACAGCAGTACACAGATAGAGAGAGAGAGAGTGAGAGAGAGAGAGAGAGAGGGAGGGAGGGAGGGAGGGAGGGAATAGAGAGAGGAACAACGCCCGCCGCCGACAGCCGACCAACAAGAGCGTCAGTCTCTCTCCCGTCTACGATAGTATATCACAACCCGCGCCCAGCTGACTAGTCAGCCCCTACTGCCTCCCCCCCGCAGCGACTACCACTCCAGCCGTGACGCAAAGAAGGCCCGGAAATGACAACAGCCGGGAAAAAATGGCCAATAAAAGAGCAGGAAGGACAAGAGTGAGGGAAAGGTGAAAAAAGGAGAGGCGACAGAAAAAATAGCGGAGCGCACTCAAACGAGCGCCGCCGGTAGGACTCAGTGATGACGGGATTGGAGAAAGGGAAAGGGTGAGAGTACCGCAGTTTGCCGGCCTACGGCTATGGCGCCAAAGGCCCGATCAGATCGGACTGATTCTCAGGGGACCAGGGACGCGCTTGTCAAAGGGATCTTGCCTCGCTCGGCCTCATGCGCCCGGCAAAACCCACGAGGCTTACCCACCCCCCCCCCTGCCCCCAGGATAAGACATAAGACCTCCAATTGGCCACGCAGAAGAGCTATAGCCTGAGCTGGCCACTTCACCTTCTTTTTTTTTGGTGTTGTAGAGGCCAGTCACTGAGTGCACAATGATCACCTGGAGCAGTGGGCCGTGGGTGTCCTGGAATATGATGAGACCACCTCCCATCCCATCCTCACGTCAATACTCCTAGCGCACCCCCTATCCCACTATCCTACCTCAGTGTGACCAGCACTCAGGACCATTACCCTACCAATGGGCAGGCAACTTGGACCGAACAGCAGTGACAGGCATCAAAGCTGATAGGTTGCCCAGCCCTGGTGGAAGCGGAATTGGATGAGCCTTGTCAAACGGGAACTTCGGACGCCAGGCCCAGACAATCTACTACAAGCCCCAAGAGACTCTGGACACTAGGTTCAGACAGGGTACCACCCACTGAAGCAGTTTTACCGTCCTTCCAAGCGAACTCGGACTGGCCTGAGTGACTTATGTCCCTACCCTTACCCTAGGGTCTAAACCTTATATAGCCACTGGATAGCTTTATCCGAATGTCGATAGGAACCCCTTACATTAACCTACTGCAAATACTAGACCCCACCCAGTGACTACACCCCCCCAGTCTAATAGTTGTGTAGTTCGCAAGCTATGTGTATACCCGAAGGTTGTGTATGCTTCATGAATCTATATATCGAGATGTACAGACAGCATCATGTGTGGAAACTTGTGTATATAGCCCGTAGGCCATGTATAGTTTGCAAGTTATGTGTATGCCCGAAGGTTGTGTGTGCTCTGTGAACCTATGTATCGAGATGTACAGACGGCATTATGTGTATATAGTTGAAGAGAGAATGTAGCAAGTTGGGCAAGGACCCCCCCCAAGGTCCGAACCAAGATCGAACTCGTGACCTTGTAACATAAAATCGAATGACTCTACCGTACTATGAACGACTATCGAAAATGACACAAACGTCCAGGGAGATCAACAGAACTCCCAAGGCCAACACTCCCAAGCAACCCATGTGAAACTCATGACAAACATACAACACAATAAACAACCCGTGGATGGTGCGCAAGCAGTGTCTGTAATAGTATCATGCGTCATCTCAAGGGAATGTATGTCCAGCTATGCGTCAATCTAACGCCCTGCCGTGTTCATGCTCAACGTTGCAATTAAGTTTTGAACCCTCAACCTCATACCACAATGCGCATTTCCAACCGATGTTCTAACCGTTGAGCTATTAGGGAGCACCTCCATTGAGTGTTTGTAAGCATTGTGGTCGTTCAAGGCCATCTTATAAGAAACTATCGTAAACTCTCATGGCTATATTATGGCCAAGCTGAAAAATGTTAAAAAACTATTACATAACAAGTTTACAAACTGTTATACAAACATGCTAATGAGACTTAGGCCTTCGGAGCTCTACAACCACAAAACATGCAGTACCACTTTGGTTATGCACATTCCAGCCAGGAACGAAAATCAAGTTTATAAATAAACCCAAAGATAAAGAAAATAGGTAAGGACAATACGATCTCAGTATATTTCATCTACATCACTATATCTTGGATAAGCATTTTCCTTACCTTTACTGAGGGAAAGTTCCTTGTTCAGTATGAAATAAAATTATGGTGTTTTTTTTAAGTTGTGAAATACTGGTTTTGGGTTTAATCGTTCATCCTTTCATTAATAAAAAAAAAAAAAAAAAAGTTACAAACGTTTCAGTTTTATTATAATTAGTTACCTCAACTTAAATAATAAAATGATAAATCACCGTAACAACAAGGTTAACCAAGCCTAAATGAAAAAATGTTAAACCAACTTCACAAAAGGGTCAATTGAAAAAAATTGTTGTTTAAATAAAAAGGTATAAAGGTGAAACTAGCTTAACCAAAAGGTTAAAAGACAAGTGAAAAATACCACTTTCGACTAAACACTGTATTAATCAAATGGAACATGTTTAACAAGTTAAAAATTTAAATATGATTACTCAAAGTGAAGTTTATATTTAGTACTCAATATAAATTTGCTAGGTTATTTCTGGTCCGGAGATCGGACGTCTCCCCCAGACGTCTCCTCGGACGTCCGTGGTCCGGGTCGTCCGGATTTCCGAACGACGATTTTTTTTGGGGGGGGGGAAGTCAAAAAAAAAAAAAAAAGGTTGTCTTGCGCTGGTTTAGGGGACCCCCCTCACCAAATTTGACGTGAAACAGAGCACTTTTGNGTGAAACAGAGCACTTTTGTGAAATAATTAGTACTGGGGGGGGGGGGGGGGGGGTAGGGGGGTGAGAAAGGACTTACCTCTTTCGTCTGCTGCTGCCTGCTATATTTGCAGCACCTGCTACATCTGCGGCACTTGCTGCATCTGCAACACCTGCACCATGTGCAGCAGATCCTCAAGGTGCATGACGTTGTGCATGTGAAGCACCTTCTGCGCTTACAGGACCTGGTGCATTCCAAGGTACAGAATGCCAATGATTTTTTGGCACATCGTGAGGGTGCTCAGTCATGTGAAGGCCTTTCACATGGGCAAAGAAATAGTACTTAGGGGGATGGGGGGGCGAGGGGGGGGGGGGGGGGGGGGGGGGGGGGGGGGATGGTGGGAGGGTTTGCTGGTTAGGGCAGATGTAGGTCTGAAAAAGAGCATACCTCTTTCCTGCTACCACACCACTTGGTGCATGTCATTTTTGCACAAGTGCCACAAACATACCACAAGTAACAATTAGAAATGACATCCTGTACGGATGAAATGTTTGTTTATTGAACTTGATTGATTGATTGATTGATTGATTGTTTGATTGATCTTCTCCTCCTTCATGTCCTCCATCTCCTACTCCATCTCCTCCAACTCCATCTCCTCCTTCATCTCCTACTCCGTCTCCTCCTCCATCTCCTCGTACTTCATCTCCTCCTTCATCTCGTACTCCACCTCCTCCTCCATCTCCTACTCCATCTCCTCCTCCATCTCTTCCTCCATCTCCTCCTTCATCTCCTCCTCCATCTTCTCCTCCATCTCCTCCTCCATCTCCTACTTTGTCTCCTCCTCCATCTCCTCGTACTTCATCTCCTCCTCCATCTCCTCCTCCATCTCCTCCTCCATCTCCTCCTCCATCTCGTCCTCCATCTCCTCCTCCATCTCCTCCTCCATCTCCTCCTCCATCTCCTCCTCTATTTCCTCCTCCATCTCCTACTCCATCTCCTCCTTCATCTCGTACTCCATCTCCTCCTCCTCCATCTCCTCCTCCATCTCTTCCTCCTCCATCTCCTCCTACTTCATCTCCTTCTCCATCTCGTCCTCCTTCTCCTACTCCATCTCCTACTCCATCTCCTACTCCATATCCTCAGGCTCCTACTTCATCTCCTCCTCCATCTCGCTCGCCATCTCCTACTCCATCTCCTACTCCATCTCCTACTCTATCTCCTACTCCATCTCCTACTCCATCTCCTCCTACTTCATCTCCTCCTCCATCTCGTCCTCCATCTCCTATCCCATCTCCTACTCCATCTCCTACTCCATCTCCTCTCACGTCATCTCCTCCTCCATCTCGTCCTCCAGCTCATACTCCATCTCCTCCTACTCCACCTCCTCCTACTTCATCTCCTCCCACTCCATCTCCTCCTACTCCATCTCCTCCTACTCCATCTCCTCCTCCATCTGCTACTCCATCTCCTCGTACTCCATCTCGTACTCCATCTCCTCGTTCGTCTCCTACCCCATCTTCTACCCCATCTCCAACTCCATCTCCTATTCCATCTCCTACTCCATCTCCGCCCATTTTATCTCCTCCTCCATCTCCTCCATCTCCTCCTACTCCATCTCGTCCTCCATTTCCTACTCCATCTCCTCCACCCCGTCCATCTTCTTCTCCCCTATCGTATTCTCGTAAATCTATCACTCTGTCAAGATCAGTCGAGATCAACTGACCAATGAAGTTCCACACTGCACAGATATGAGTTAGGCTTGTGCTCGACAGTCCCAAACTGGAGATATACCCTTGACCCAAAAGTGCCAATATAACCAACGGGCCTAGCTCACCTGGTACACCTAGTGAACTGTTGAAATACAGATGCAAGTTCGAATTGAGATGCAATGAGATAAGGTTGGTAAGCAGAATGAAATAATTTTGAACTACAATCAATATCAATCAATCAATCAATTTATTCGTGGATGTCGACGGATCATTTCCTTTAAGATTCGTCGATATCGACGGATCTTGAAGGAAAGGATCCGTCGAAATCCGCGAATAAATGGATTGATTGATTGATTGATTGATTGATTGATTGATTGATTGATTGATTGATTGATTGATTGACGAGCCGGTGTGCGTGGATGCGGGCGGGTGCACACGGAGGCGGGCGGGTGTGCACGGAGGCGGGCGGGTGTGCGCGGATGCGGGCGGAGGCGGGAGCACGTGGCTGGCGGAGATTGGCAGAGGCAGGCGGAGGCGTGCGAAGGCAGGGAGAGGTGCGGGCGGGGGCGGGAGAAGGAGGCAGGCGGAGGCGGGAGGAGGTGGCATGCGGAGGCGAGAGGAGGTGCCGGGCGGACATCGACGGCGGCAGGAGGAGGCGTGCGGCGGCGGGAGGAGGTGGGCGGAGGCGGGTAAAGGCGGCCAGAGGATAGCGGGGGTGGGTGGAAGCGGGCGGGAAGATGCGGAGGGGTGTGGTCGGATGTTGGCGGGGGCGGGCGGATGCGGGCGGAAAGATGCAGGTGGAGGCGGGAAGAAGAAGAAGAAGAAGAAGAAGAAGAAGAAGAAGAAGAAGAAGAAGAAGAAGAAAAAGAAGAAGAAGAAAAATACAAAAAATATAAATCAATCAAAGAAAGATCAATCAATCAATCAATCAATCAATCAATCAATCAGTCAATCAATAAACCAATCAAGAAATCAATTAATCAATCAATCAACTAATCAATCTATCCGTCGATGTCGATGGATCATTTCGTTCAAGATCATATCGACGGATCTTGAACGAAATGATGATTGATTGATTGATTGATTGATTGATTGATTGATTGGTTGGTTGATTGATTGATTGATTGATCTTTCTTCTTCTTCTTCTTTTTCCCTTACTTCCGCCCCTGCCGCCATTTTTCGCCCCTACGCCGACTTTCCACCCCCCGCCTTATCCCTGTCTCTTATACACATCTAGATGTGTATAAGAGACAGACCTAGTACATCCGATTCAAAAATGAAAAATGAA